TCAGTAGACGAGTAAAGTGAAACCGCAGTCCATGTCACCAAAAGTCAATGATGACATCGTACGGAATTTAACTGATGTAACTAACATGCTTATTTTAACCCAAACAATGATCCTTTCTTAAACCTACTCAAGTACTTTTGGTGCCTACCTCACCAAACTGTGACTGTTCACAGACTTTAGCCATGTGTTTATTATTGTTACCTTCACAATGAAGGTCAACTGACGTCATCCTTTCCACCACGGCTAAAACATATACAATGCGCAATCTCTAACGGTGTAAAATGACACAAAAAGAGCATAAAATGTGTAGACATGACAGGCAAAATTCCCTAGAAGTGGTGTTATGTGTGCTATTTATACGCCATCCCAAGTCATATCACACTGGTCTAGTGCAATGTGGGTGGGGAACGGGGAGGGAGGGGCAGGCTGTGCGTCCAGTGTGTATGTATGAAAGTAACACAAGAATCTGCCAGCACTCACTTGAGATGTGAACTGCTGTAACGCCTTAATTTACCCCCGGGGGTCAATAAAGTACCTATCTGACATGACCGCCACATCCTTTGTCCCTAACAGAAGAAAGATTCCAAAGCAGACGGTTAAGAGGAGTGGGGAGTCAGAAGTCAAGTAAATAAAAAAATATGAATCTCTGCAACCACAAGAGGTCATTGAGCATACAGTCATAAATATGCACAAAAAATATTAGGCCGATGGGTCCAGTAGTGTCTGCCTGGTGGAGATAACTACTTGTACCTTTATGTTGGATCAAAGGGTATAACTACGTGCCTTTTATGGTTTAACTGTGAAAAATTTGCAGCTCTGGTGCATCTGTTTTTGATGGCTCAGGACTCCTGAATTAAGACTAGAAGACAGGCAGATGGGTAGAAACACAGACTCTAATGTTTATCTCCTACAGCTACAAGTTCCAGACCCCAAGACCCCTCTCCTTCTCTCTACCTCCCTCTGTTTACCCTCTTACTCTTTAGCTGTAGCAGTGGGAGCTGTCACTTCTCTTCCTGTTGTTACTCGGCCTCTCAGCAGAGCCCCAATTACCAAAAGCCACTGCCCGCTCCCTGACAGGCCAGGTCACACCTGGTTAGCTACACATTAACCACACACTTATGACCACAGACAGAATTCAGCCGAGCCTAGCGGATGCTGCTAATGTGCCGCCTACTCCCCAGTGAGTCGCAAAAAAACCGTACGGTAGGACACTCTACAGTACAAAAATCACACATCTCCTTTTTTGTTTCTTGGTTTGGTTTACTCCAGCTGAAAATGCAGATTATTTCTAATTACGTAAAAGGATAACGTCTTCACAGGTAAGAATGAGTTACAGGTCACTGAATTTTGTTGAAGCTCGACAGCTGTCCTGAATACATCCACTGCAAACCAACACGACCTCCTTGGTGTTTGCTTCTTAATTGCATATAACACAACCGTCCGCTTGTGCACGTTCATGGTTGCTCATATAGCTCGCTGCATATTAGCTTTAGTTAGAGCATCTTCTATCACATGCCCCGGACAAATGTTTTACCCTTGCCCACTCTCCAAAAACAATCTGCACTCTTAATTTTACTGAACTCTTAAACTTAGGCAACAAAAAAAGCAAAATTCCTGATAATGATAATACACATAATAGTGATGAAAAGATCTTTGTGTACAAGAGTTCCAAGTACATGACCTGATGCTCTAACCCCTGAGGATTAAAAGGGACACATCAAAGTGATACAGGGCTTCAATAGCACCTATTATGTATCGAGGTTTGGGCTTCCACCTGACTGTGACAGCCATAGGCCATAAAACCCTCACTGCACAGTTTGATACTTGGGCTGCTGCTGCTGCTGCTGCTCCACGCACGCACGCACGCACGCACGCACGCACGCACGCACGCACGCACGCACGCACGCACGCACGCACGCACGCACGCACGCACGCACGCACACACACACACACACACACACACACACACACACACACACACACACACACACACACACACACACACACACAGAGTTATAACAAGTCTGTTCTCAGTGTCACCTTGATGCAGTGTTTTATTAATCCACAAGGTGGTGCCAAACCTAACCACAGTGGATTAACTGCATCTGTCCTGTGGGGTTTCACAGTAAACTGATCTCCTATTTTATTAGCTCAGTGTTAAAAGTTATTAGAGCAAAGCTACCTCATACATTCCCAAGTAAGGTAAACCTGTGTTTCGACACTGCATCACTGGAACAGCAAGGACCCCGACAAGATACCAAATGAACACCAGAAACATACAACATCTGCTGCCTGTGAACGTCACGTCAAAACCAGTGAAAGCATCAACTACGAAGAGGTCAAAGTCATCAGGAGTCAATCAATGACCAGAGAAAGATCAATGATGCCATTGACATCTGACACCAAAGACTATCTTTAAACAGTGACAGGGGTTATGATCTCCTCCCCATATATGACCCCCTGTTATCACATGATGGAAATTACATACGCACTAGGAATCCACATCAAAAGTAAGACATCAGTGGCACGTAAACACTGCTGAAGCGTCCATTCATTCCACCCTCACAGACTCCGGCCTTTGCTCAACTATCACTGGCCTCTAGCCAGGTCAGACAGACTGTATTCAGCAGGCTGAGAAACATTTACTGTAACAGAAATTATTTTCAGGTAGGCTACAGGAAGTACACAGGAAGAAAACTGCACTGATTTCATTTATTAATCCATATAAATACATATATGTATAGATTTACACATAAGGCCTTGATCAGTCATTTTACATACCGTTAATAAGTGCACAAGTTAAATTGAGTTAAATTTGACAAAATGGAAGCGTTTCTGATTTGTTCCCTAACAACTGATCAAACCCAACTGATGGATCCCATGAGATGTGGCTAAAAGCTCTGTAACATTTCCAGTAAGTGGACAGTTTTTTCGCTATTTCCAAGGTCACTTACTCAATGCTTATTTTGCAGATATGTAACACCGTAGGAGTAAAGTTACAACAAATAATAATAGAGGCATGTTTTATATTTCCTTTCCAAAAACTATTATCAGGATTCCTCCTGATGTGTTGGATATATATATATAGCTATCTTGATTAGCTGATTGCATAGTAGCATCAATTGCTCTACACATGTGTGGTGGCCATCAACACTTATCCATCACTTATCTATCAGGGCTAACCACCTACAAGAGTGCGTATGTGAGCTGCATCAAACCCCTATTCAAAATTGTTTTGTATCCATCAATATACAATCATGGTAAAACCTTCATTTCAAGAATAAGGGTTACTGATACTGTATGTATAGATACAGGTGATAAATACTCTGGGAAAATACCATGCTGCCTATTGTCATGACAACCTGCAATTCTCCCTCCTCTTCTGCCTTTGTCTGTGGGTGGGCTGCACCATTCAGGATTAATCTGGATTAAATCATGGTTTATTTTACAATTCTGTTGCACCAAAATTTTAAACATTGTTTTGAACTCAAAATGATTTGAAACATTTATTTTACACAGTGTAAATGTGTATGTGACTGGTATTATAATATATTAGCTATTCCCAACACCTCTACCTCATCCTTATGAAAGTTTTGAAGGTAAACCTGAAACACACTTGTTTCATTATTAGTGGCGAGTTTATGTCTTGCACCAACAAGTATTCATTTAAATAAAGATTAGGATTAATCGTAGTTTAGGTAGATTTTGTGTTAAACTAAGCAGGTCTAAGCCTATCTTCACCACTGGGATGCACCAGAAGGTATTTATTTTAATTCAGATTTGGGTCCATTTTAGTTTAGCCAACTTCAGTTTTTTATTTAAATGTAATCCCAGCTGTATGGCATACTTCAAATAAGTCTATGAGTAAAACATGGTTTAACAATTTAAATGGAATATTATCTTAAATCACCATAAAATATAGGCCAGACAAAAAATATCACTTCAGGGCACAAAGAGAGAGGTCTGCACACTCTTAGGCTCCAAATAAATTGTTTAACTCACTTTTCAAGGAAACCTTTTAAAGGACTAGTGTGTAGGATTTAGTGGCATCTAACAAAAACTTGAAGTGCCACTTGAGGCTAGGCTTGAGGTTCATCTTAAGGTAACAAAAACACAACAATTCTTATTTTCAGGTGAAATATACGCTAATAAAAACATACCTATTATTACTAATGTTACACACTGGACCTTTAATATTCATAAGCTTCCCCAGGCAAGTGTCAAAAAGAAAGGCATTTCTTGTAGAGGTAGAAAATGCTTGTTTTATCATTGACACTTGCCTGAGGAAACATTGCCTTGAAAAGAGACTATTTATTTGGAACTTTCTGATTTGCAGACTGAATATGATCCAGATCAGAATGACCACTGACAGCTAATAACAATAGCCAATAAAAACAGCCAATAAAAACAATGGAGATTCAGTTACATTTGAATTAAAAATGGCATTATTATGTATATAAAAGGCTTGGCAAAGAGATTCAAACTAGCTTTTCAATCACTTTCATGCACATCATTTCAGCAGGTCCAGATTTTCTGTCTGACTTGCAACAGAGTTTAGAGTTCTGAGTTTCCTGAATAGGATTCAGAAGATCCTTATGAACTCAAAATCCTCAAATGAGTCACTGGAGTTGAGTATATTATTTTTCAGCACTCACTATTAATAAGTTAATGTACTGTAGTACTACTGCACACAAAGCCTTGTTGTCGTTTGTTTTGTTTCAGCCAAATCGTTCTCCTCTCGTGGCCAAAACTCGATAAATGCAGCCTCAAACAAAAGATATAAGCAGGAATTTTTGCATTGAAAAAACAATTTTCTGAGGGCTTGTTATGCTGATGAGGAAAAGTGCAGTGGTTGTTTATCTTCTTGTATCTAACACATAGCTTGAAAATAATTTGTGGAGATGTTGAGAAAACGTGTTATTTATAGCAGCTTCAATCTGTTACCCCTCACCATCCCACCTCCTCTTATTCATGGAGGGGGTGGGGGGGCGTCTTATTACCTGACGTTGTCGTGCTTCTGGATGTAGATCTTGTGAAACATCATGTCCTCCTGCTTGGCGTTTATGTCAGCTTTCATTTCCATGGCAACATGGCGGGGAAGCACTGAGAGGAGGAGACGTTCCTGCAAGAAAGCGTGGGGGGGGAGTAAGTTCAATGGACATGTATAAGTACGTTAAGAGGTGGAGGCTTTGGCTGTCTGAGGGGAGGCAGTGTGACTAACACGTCTGAGTAGGTCTAAGAGCAATAGCTTCCCCCCCAATGGTAATGAATAAAGGTCTACATAATTATTAAACCATTATGTTTGTTGTGCTGGGAACTATTTATGGTCTACGTTTATAGCAATTACCTAGTGGAAGTCTCAAAATCATTCTGAAAGCACAATATAACAGCTGTAGAAAAAAAACAGACCCTTGTTCATGTATATTTATATTAAATGTTTGTAATATTTGTCCGTTCTGTGAAAAGTGCTGGTTAAACCTGCAGCACAAAACAAAGATCTTTTCTCCATAGCAATGGCAGCCATTTGCCAAACTGGCTGAAAAAACAAACAGGATTTCTCAGAAACTAAGTAGAAATAATTCAAACTGATGGACTATATAAACCTGAAGTGTTATTCAGTTATTAAGGAGACTTCATGTTCCTGTGCTGTGGAACACTGTGTTGAAGATATCATTTTAGAGAGGTGGTGAGAGAGGTTTAGGAGAAGATGTGCGTTCACAATAAGCACAAAAGTGATGTGTGGAAAACGTTCCATTTCAATTACTATTACTACTACAGTATATCCCTGACAGCACAGAGTACTTTCTGAAATGTCCACCCAAAAACAGTCAGGTAGAGTTTTGTTTTTTGTTTTTTTCTTGTTTTTTGGGATGGATTAAGAACAAAATAACAACTAGTGTGACTCAGCTGTGTCTCAACCGTGGCAGTTAAATCAGATCTTAATAACCTTGTGGATTATTTTGCCCCAAACTACAGAGGAAGAAACACTTGGCTTATTGTAGGACAGCTCAGTCTGTATGTTCATGCTAAAGAAGAAGAGCAACTGTTGGTAAGGCGCTGTGATCAATGCTTTGCTGATGGGTAAGTGTATGTTGGGCTTTGTTTCAGTGTGTGACTTGCAGCTGCCACATTTTAAATTATATATATATAAAAAAAAGATGCAAGGTATGTCAGGAAATCACATGTGTGCACACAGTCTCTTCCGATGTTCGAAAGGTGAGCTAACTGGCTAATTAGCTGTTTGACTGTGAGAGCTGCGGAGGAGGGGATGTAGGGGGGGTAAACCCAAGTAACATCAGTGATCCACCTCTTTGAAATTAAGCCAGCTTATTTGTTCAAAGCATAGGTTTTCAGTGAAATCACCAATGTTACCAGGGCTTTTTGGACCCTGCCCTCCCTCCACTCCTACATCCCCGTCTCCTGTCACCATAAATCTGTGCTTGCGCTCACCTGTTGCTGGTTTTCCCTCTGGGAGTGGAGGCGAGCCTGGATGCATTCCCTGGTCTCCTGGAAGGCCTGCCTCTGGGAGCCCTCAGCGGGGTAATGCGTGCACACTCCCACGATGTTGGTACAGGAGAAGATCAGCACGTTGGACACTATCTGTGTAAAAGGGTGAGAGAGCGAGAGAGAGAGTGAGTTACAACACAAAGAAGGGGCATCCATGTGAGCCAGAGGACTGCTTTTGCCGTTTCCCTTTCTCTTTCCTTCCTGTTGCTCTCTACCAACATAAACTACAATCAATACCTTGTAATTGCACACATCCCGCTGAGAGATTTATGCCCTGTTGAACATTAACCTATGCAGTTAAACAAGGGGACAGGTTTTGGCACCGCTGTCTGTATCTAACATTCACATCTTTTCTAAAGAAAATAAAAGTAAATGTTCATTTTACTTACTGTAAGAACACAATAGGCACTCCACCCAGTCCCTCCGACCTTTAACATTTACATTTTCTTAATATACCTGTAGCTGCACTTGTTCTTTATACTAAGCATTACTCACTCACGAGTGAGATGTGTGATGCAAAAATGTAGAGATAAGGTCAAAAGGTTTATGGGAAGCCTATCTGGATCAAGTAAATATGTTTACTGCGTGTACACTGCAGTAATTTGAGAAGAATAAAAGGGTATCTGCATAATAAATTTTACCTCCTCATGTGTCATCAGTCAGTAGTATGTTAATCACTTGCAATTTAGCAGAGAGTTTAGACTGCTAGATGACATGGTGAATAATGGACAGTCTGTTTTTTTCCAAACAGGTACACAACTTCTTAGTGTCAGACCACTGGGATTCCTAACACAGAACAATGTGTATGCAGGTGTTTATGAATCTGGTACAAGAATGTGAACATAGATTTAGTTTTGAATATACACCTGACCCCTCAGGTAGGTCTTTAAAAAAAAGAAGCTTTTCATTTCAACATTACCAGCAGATTGTTTGGAGAAGAATGATATATTATAGGAAGAAACTATATCAGAGCTGAAACAAGTAGCTGATAAGCTTATTAGTCATCATCCTGCAGCTGTTTCTTCTCTAAACGAGAGTAAAGATCAGTGATTTAGGAGATTTCTGACATATTTGGTAGAGAAAATACAGACTTATCCAAAATAGACTCAATCAGCAGCAGTTGGTACTCAGTTTATGCTGTAGGAGGCAGCCAGGCTAGGTAGGAAAGCTTCTTTTTCACTAACGTAATGTATTTATGTGTATTTATACAACACTTTATCAACTTTTCCACAGTTATAAAGAACAAAAAGTTTTTAAAAGATTCTTGACCCTGGACTGTGGAACTTGAGGATTTGTGTTTCCTGTCAATGGCCCAAAATAAGAGTTATCATCTGTTCAAGACCAATAAGCAGACACACTTTTAACAGTATTTACTGCAGTGTTACCAGATTATAAAGCCAACAGGGTTTGACACAAAAAAAAAATATATCCAGTAGTAAGTAAAAGAGATGATACTTTGAGGAACTCCACACAGCATTCTAGGCACTTTGTGGTCTGGTTGCTGGTTATACTGCTGAGCATCTGACCACATATGTACCAGAGAGTGATTTAAGATCAGATGTAGTGTCAGTTTTCTGCAGTAACCCATTTTGTTAGCGTTACATAAAGAAGAAACCTGGTTTCCCTATTTGGGGTAGGCAATTAAAGAAACCTGATTTCCCAGCTAGAAAAAGCTGATTTTCAATGTAAATGCCTAACCAGGTTTCTAAACATGTATGACAAAGACGTCAGACAAGGAGAGTTTTCTGTTTGCATGTAAATGTACTCACTGAGATACAGAAGCTAGTGCAGTGAACAAAGGCTACATACATGGGGGAACTGGACATCTGTAGGAAACTCCTTGCTGGTGCACACTTGCATGTGAGCCCCAATAACACTTGAATTTTTAATTTGCAGCAAATCAGTACCTTCAGGTTTCATAGACCCTGTCCAAGTTTCCACCCATCAAACAGCTTGCATGCTGTCATGTGTCCAAGGCACCAGTGCTAAAAGACATTGTTTCCATTCAGTGCCAGGCATACAGTGGGTCCTGGGACTGGCAGCCAGCAGCAAGCCAACGCCAGCAGCCCATTCTTTTCATAGAGCCATTTAATGGGCTGAATCAGCCAGCTGAATCACATTCACACCACGGGCCTCTCTGTTGCCGGAACAAACCGAACAAACACAGCATGTCTTTATCAAGTCAAAAACCCCTCAGCAGGTCTCCATGCAAAAACCAAGCACACTCAGAAAAAGGAGTGGCTGGCGGAAGACTTGCCTGGAAGTGAGGCACGACCAAGGAAAATTAAGAAATGAGGTGTGAGACAGAGAGAAGGTGGTGAATTTAGAAAAGGTTACTCTTTGCTATTTATGCCTCTTATCTAACTGAAACACTAACTGGACTGGACTGACCCACAGAAGACAAATGACTGTTTAGATAAATACAGTCAACCATGACAAGCAGTCTTGCCCAAGTGTACAGAAACAGAGGTTTATTTCCCATGATACTCTTTATTTTGCCTGCTTAAATATTTACTTTGACAGAAGTATTTTTACATAATAGCATTTGAGTCAGAGAAACCATTGTCAAGGAACTGAGCGTTTATTGTAAATGGTGTAAAAGGCTCTTCTCCTTGAGGGAATCAACCATTTTGATAATCCCTCAGCATAGATACATGAACTATGCCATACAGAATTCAGCAGCATCTGTCAGCACACTTTGAACATTAATCATATATTTTGCAATGGCTTCAGCACGTTAAGGAGGAGGATGTTTTAGTGTTGGAGATGCTGCATACAGACAACCCTACGTAAAGCCCTTGCACCTGTATGAATGTTTGGGTGTTATAAGTCAGCTCAATGAGCCACTGATGCTGAATCATGAATGAAGAATAAAAGGCTTTTTGAATTTTTCATGATCAAATCTTACAACTTCCCCAAAACAAAAATCTAATATCTATCTAATAAAAAAAACCTAACCAGGCCTTACAATTAACAATATATATATATAGTGAATATATTGTTTGGGCTATTATTGCTTTTAACGGACTGTGACAGCTGTAGAGTGGTAGGAGAGGGGGGAGAGAGAGGGGATGACACGCAGCAAAGGGCCTCAGGTTGGAGAAGAACCCATGGCCGCTGCAGCAAGGACCCAACCCCGGTACATGGGGAACCAGCTTCACCAGGCGAGGCAACAGGGTGCCCCAATTACCAATATTTTTGAAAAATCTATTTCTTGTGAATACAGAAACGATAACATTTGCAGAGGAACTTGATTATTACAACTCACCCATTGCGCTCAGTTAACAACTTTAACAGCTCCAAAGAGATTTGTCATATTCAGTGTAGCCAGCCGTGATTGAAAAGCCAAATATACTGGATGTAGATTAGAAGAGGGAGAGGTAGCAAATGGCCTCATGATGAAGTAATCCATCCGAGTCATGCCAGAGTCGCATCAAAGAGACAATCCCCTCAGCACAGAGAAAGACGAGGGGATTTCTCTGCATAATGTTGCAGTCGAGTAAATGCTCTGGTTTAAGAGGCAAAACTGTTACAGGATCTTAATTGTTAATCTCTTGGTAATATTGTAATATTATTACACACAATTCTAATCTTAGTGACAAAGATTTTTTATCATAAAAAGGTTGACCAAAAAAGGCCCTGACTTTGCACAACTCTGTGACACTGAGTAAACAAAAAGGTATTACAGATGAAATGCCTCTCAATGGCTTGAACTACAGAGAAATCATTATGCCTTCCTGTCCATGAGGGGCTTATTAACATAACAAATGTGTTCGAACTGTACGATCAGCAAAGAGAGATGTATTATTTTGCTCTGTGAGCAAAGTGTGTAATGCTAAGACCATGAGAATGAATGTGGAAAACACAGACTCCTGCTTTAAATCAGCTTGAAACGGTGGGTTCCTGCTACCTACAGTGGACTTACCCAGTCAGCTGCAGCTGCACACCACAGCCTCGTTTCATCCCGCCCCCACACTGCCATGGAAACGGCATGCATCAGATAGTCTTTCAACAGGTCAATACAAATATTCCCCAGCAGCAGTCTTATTCTATTAATACTGCCAGTGCTCACCCAGGCCTTATTTGGAAACCTATGGGCTTTTCCTCACCACAGAGGGAAAGTGGGGGCAGAAAAAACACAGCTCCCATGTTTAATACAGAGATCATCCCCTGGGTGAGAACACAGAAATCTATTATCAAATAGCTGCAGGGGAGAACTGATGAGGTCTCTGCTGATTATCACCCTCCATAGATGTACATAAATCAATGCCTTCTCAAACTTAACATACATAATCAGGGAAGATCGCTTTCAGTAATTTCTCTCTGTGATTCATGCATATTGTTTTGCTCACCTCACTCACGCTGACTCATTTTTATACTATTCAAAACCTGCCGAACCAAAGACAGTCAAGAGCACTCAGGCAAGTCATTTTCATGGAAAACCGTTAAAAGACAAGCTAAATTCAGCTCAAGGTCCCCAAATGATCGAGTATTTGCGACAGCAAAGATGCCCCAAGCAAGCTTTTGCAGACTATGACACAAAAAAAGCTGAATTCCCACTGAGGAGAGAAAATGTGATGCAACACTCCAGGCGAAAAAAAAAAAAAGAAGCTGTTTGCCTTATGGCACTCCCACAGGTATTTTACTCTTTACTCTTCCGATATTCCTGTTTCTGTTATCAGCTGATTAATGGAGGCCACTGCTGCAATATGCACCAGCGAATGCACATCTGCAGGTAATATTGTGTGTCACATTATTATATGTCTCTGTTGAGCAAAGTGCAGTCCTGTGGTCTCATTTACAGAGATAGCTGTTTAGCACATGACCCCTGACATCAACCCCACTGATGTAGGAAACAAAATAGTGATTTTTGGGAAGTGCCCGAACGCAGCAGTGGAGAACCTGTAATGTTAGAAAATTGTTTATAATTGACTTTTCACAATAACACAACCTCTATTGGCTTTTACTAAAAATGGCTTTATTTAATTTCATGCTTTTATTGTATGATTACAATGATTATGATTATTAATTAAGTAGTTATTACTTAATTAGTTCTTGTGTCCTATTAATTTCCACTGTCAATAATAATAATA